TAAGGTTAAATAACTAATTAGTTTAACTAAAATTAAAAATAAAAATAAATTAAAAATTTTAAAATGAAATTAAAGTATATAATAATTATTTTACAGAAAATGAAAGTGACATAGAACGTGGACGAACATAAATGACAATATGGACATCCTATGTGGGAAGGAGGGAGTATATTTTTTTAGAATATTTATCACAAAATATGTAAAACATAAAAATATTATTGGATCTAGACAGTTAAATAGTTTTGTTTTATGTTGTATTTTTTTATTTTTAAAATAATAAAAAATTAAAATAAAAAATATTACTAAGTAAAAAAATTGTATTTGCTTAGTATCTCAAGAATATTTGATATTCCATTATGTCCCATTTTTACTATAATAATCACTTAGTTTTTTTTATTACCTTTTAGAAGAAATACCATTATTCACTATTTATTACATTTTCAAGAATTGACTATCTTCAACAAAATAAAAAAAAATAAATTAAATATTATTAACAAATTTTTGAAATATTAAAATTTAACAAAAATTATCTAATATATATGTTGATTTATTCAAATAATTTCAAATTTTAAAAGTAAATTATATGTTTCAATATATTGAAATTTATATAGATTAAAATTTAAAAATTTAATATAATATTATATAAAAATATTACTTCATCCGTCATGCAAATCTGTGCTCATTTGACCGGGTACGAGAATTAATAAAAATGAGTAATAATTGTTATTTTTTCTTTTATAGTAAAAAAATTACAAAAATGTAATAATTTTTTACTTAAAAGGAAAACAAGAATGGTTTTTATGACAACCCAAAAGGAAAGTTATTATAGATTTGAATGACGGATGGAGTATTAGACAATAAAAATATATAGAAATATATATAAATAAAAAATTTATATATATTATGTAATAAAAATATATAAAAATAAATAAATTAGTATGAATCCTATAAAATAATAAAAGTAATATATTGAAGGTGATTACTATAAATATTGTAATTTAAATATTAAGTTAGATATGACGTGGACGACAGATTTAAAAGAAATACCGAAACAGAGGTAATGTCTGTGTGTTGGTCTTATAAATCTCTTCCAAATTAGCAAAGCACGTGGCAAAAGTTCCACCTCAGCAAGCAGCTAGCATGGACAACAGACAAATCAATTGGCCATTTGATGATCGTCGATGCAACAAACAAAATAGTGTTCGATAAAAAGTTAGCATAATGAATTATGCTCTCTTTTAATTGAAAAATTGCTCTAGTTTTTTAATATAATTTTAACTTATTCAATAACTAAATTAAAGTGTTCGATAAAAAGTTTTTTGAAAACATTTATTGAAAGCTAAAAACTATTGACTTTTAAAAAACTGTTTGTTTGAAGATTGAATTTTAAATATATTGTTCATTTCAATTTTTTCTCCCAAAAATATCAAATCAAACATCTATTTTTTATTTTTTATATTATACTAAAATTAATTTTACATTCAAAACGTTACATCAACACCTATTTATATCACATCATACAACTATTCAAATTCAAAATTTTACTATTCAAATCCTAACTCAAAATCCAAACCCTCAAACAAACACATGACTTCTGTTCTGTTGGTGGACTCGACTTAATGTCTACTGTACAATTATGTACAAATTTAAAATTTAAAATCCAAACCCTACTAACCTACAGGGTAGGCTGAAGATAGCTGGTTGATTTTATCTGTAATCCTTCAAATCTATTCGGCAACAACGGATTCACGTGATTAAAGATACAGGCTGGTAGGTGATACGTGAGGCAATATATACACAACTTTAATAATATAAAATATTTATATTTTTTAAGCATCACATCAAACTTTCATTTCAACAATGTCAAAATTAATTTTCAATTATATCTAAATATCATTTAATTCAAATTATCACATTAGTATATCATCTCTCTCAATAAAATAATAACTTCTTTCAAACATAATCATTACAAAATTCAATCTCCCCAACAAACACAACTTACAAATTCGTACTTTAAAATCATAAAAATCCAATTCTAAAATCCAATCCCCCAAACAAACACACTCTACTCTAATTTTTTTTGTTCCATTAAACCCTAGGACTTCTCATTCATATAATAGAAAATAATGTCCCGTAAGAGATGACCTGGTGGTATAAGGATTGAACTTGTGACCGTGATATTTCACGCAGAGAATGACTCATAAAAAATTAAGGATGCATTTAGTGATGACAATGAAAATTGATTATTTTGCTATAGAATTTAACTGAGAGAAATGTAACAAAAAAAATAATAATTATCTTTATATATATATAAAACATACAAAATTAATAATTTAAAATACACTAGTAAATATTCCAAAAGAAAAATCTGTCATAAGATTCTATGTAAAATACTCCGATTGCAATGACTGGGACGAAAATAGAAGACCTTAGAAAACACCTCCACAGATTTAGATCGCTACATATTAAAATATTTAATAATATATACACAACTTTAATAATATAAAATATTTATATTTTTTTAAGCATCACATCAAACTTTCATTTCAACAATTTCAAAATTAATTTTCAATTATATCTAAATATTATTTAATTCAAACTATCACATCAACATATCATCTCTCTCAATAAAATAATAACTTCTTTCAAACATAATCATTACAAAATTCAATCCCCCGAACAAACACAACTTACAAATTCGTACTTTAAAATCCTAAAAATCCAATTCTAAAATCCAATCCCCCAAACAAACACACCCTACTCTAATTTTTTTGTTCCGTTAAACCCTAGGACTTCTCATTCATATAATAGAAAATAATGTCCCGTAAGAGATGACCTGGTGGTATAATGATTGAACTTGTGACCGTGATATTTCACGCAGAGAATGACTCATAAAAAAATTAAGGATGCATTTAGTGATGACAATGAAAATTGATTATTTTGCTATAGAATTTAACTGAGAGAAATGTAACAAAAAAAAAAATAATTATCTTTCTATATATATAAAAAATACAAATTAATAATTTAAAATAAAGTAGTAAATATTCCAAAAGAAAAATATGTCATTAGATTCTATGTAAAATACTCCGATTGCAATGACTGGGACGAAAATGGAAGACCTTAGAAAACACCTCCACAGATTTAGATCGCTACATATTAAAATATTTAATAATATATACACAACTTTAATAATATAAAATATTTATATTTTTTTAAGCATCACATCAAACTTTCATTTCTAACAATTTCAAAATTAATTTTCAATTATATCTAAATATCATTTAATTCAAACTATAACATCAGCATATCATCTCTCTCAATAAAATAATAACTTTTTTCAAACATAATCATTACAAAATTCAATCCCCCGAACAAACACAACTTACAAATTCGTACTTTAAAATCCTAAAAATCCAATTCTAAAATCCAATCCCCCAAACAAACACACTCTACTCTAATTTTTTTGTTCCATTAAATCCTAGGACTTCTCATTCATATAATAGAAAATAATGTCCGGTAAGAGATGACCTGGCGGTATAGGGATTGAACTTGTGACCGTGATATTTCACGCAGAGAATGACTCATGAAAAATTAAGGATGCATTTAGTGATAACAATGAAAATTGATTATTTTACTATAGAATTTAACTGAGAGAAATGTAACAAAAAAATAATAATTATCTTTCTATATATATAAAAAATACAAATTAATAATTTAAAATAAAGTAGTAAATATTCCAAAAGAAAAATCTGTCATAAGATTCTATGTAAAATATTCCGATTGTAATGACTGGGACGAAAATGGAAGACTTTGGAAAACACCTCCACAAATTTACATCGCTACAAACACACACGTACCGACAATGACTATATAGCCGAGCTGCTCTGAACCTGATCATCCTCTCCGGTTGGAATTCCTTTAAGTTTCAGTCACCGTTGAACTCTCTGACGGATTTTTATGTCAACAACCTATTCAAACTGACGAGAATCGATATGGATAAGGATGATAGCTTTACTCCATTTTTTTTCTCTTTCTAAAATATGTCATCAAACTCGCTCATCACCAATCTTCAACTCTATCCGGTTGATTAAGTTACTCACATTCATGAAATAAAAATTTCATATTAATTTTCTTTTGCACCGAAATAAAGTATTTGTTGCACATATTAAGACACGATTTGCCTATATACCAAAATAACTTAGGTAAATTTTTATATACAAGAAAATAAATATATAAATTGATGTGGAATCAAGAATTTGAAGAAACTTTTTTTTTTCCTCACATATATTCAATAGGAGATAATTAAAATGAAAGAATAATGAATAAATTCTTTGTAACTTTAAAATATTCTCTCATTCCCGTTGAAAGATTGCCATTTTCCATTTTCGTTCGTCCCAAAATAAGGTTACTATTTTCTAATTTAGTAATTATACCTAACATAATAAATAGCCTTCTAACCTACGTTATATTACACAGATGCTATTACTTTTATATTACACAATACTAATAGGGTATTTTCGTCATTTTCACTACAATCCATTATAATACTAATATTAAAAAAATGTACATGCAAAAAGCAAACGCCACTCTTATTCCGGGACTGTGGGATAATTAGAGAATTATTTCCCTAACCAAACCTCCAGAAGAGTATACTACAAACAACACCCCATAATAATTATAATAATACAAAATAAAATAAAATAAAATAAAAAAGGTTGGAATTGTCTATTTGCCGGCAGTCAGCTGCCAACCAGGCAAAGTTATCGACATTAGAATATTAACTCATCCCCTGGTTGCTTCCAAATTGGCAGTTTTGTAAGAATAATCGAATAGTCTAGTCGTTTATAATTAATAATGTTATTTTAAGAAGGCGAATCCGATGTTGATATTCGATCACAATAATCTGCTAGTGTGTACTTGTTTTACATAATTTGATCTCATCTCTATTTTCATGTCTAAATTTTTTTTGAAACTTTTTAGGATGCAATAAGAGATTAAGGATGTCTGCTTATGCAGCTGTTCTTTCTCTTATTCATGCTGTGAGGCGAATCCAGAATCTTACAAGCAAAAGCATCTATCACAGCTGGTCTGTCGATGATCTAGCGAAAATGGGGTATTCCATGCTTGATTTTCTGAAAAAGTATTCCTATGGAGATGATCAAGAAGGACGAAATATGGAGAGACTAATTGCAGAAGTTGCTCATGAAGCAGAAGATGCGATTGAAAATTGTGTGGCTGATGAAATCTTTAATAGGTTGAGAAATGAGCATCGACACATTCAGTTGCTCAAAGCAGTCGAAGAAAACATGAAATCCATATTGGAAATGGTTATGAGGATTCAAGGATTCGAGAAAGTCGAAGATAAGCACCTTCCATCATCCAGGTCGATCGATCAGCAGCTGCCCGAAGACTCTGTTTTACGTGAAATCCTCGATTTGCTAATCAAAGGACAATCTTCGCGCGAAATTATTACAATATATGGCATTGGCGGCATTGGTAAGACCACATTGGCTCGATCCGTTTATGAAAATTATTCTGTTGTACGCCACTTCGTCACCAGGATATGGATCCCTTTGTCCCAAGAATGCACTCTTTTAGATGTTCTTTTACGAATTTTTAGCTCTCGAAAAGTACTAGACAAATGTGATTGTTTAGTAACCGCGAGCGAAATAGGAGAACGCCTGAGCAAAATTTTATATGGTCGGCGATACCTAATTATATTAGATGGAATGGCGAGTTTGGAAATTTGGGATGGCCTAAAACATTTCTTTCCCGATGACAAAAACATGAGTCGAATCATTGTAACTACTCGTCTCTCAAATGTGGCTACATATGTGAGCTCTTGTAGGCTTGAGATGAAGTTTCTTGACAAAGATAAGAGTTGGGAATTGTTTCGTAAAACTTCTTTCGGACAAAAGAGTTGTCCTCGTGAACTTGAGAATATAGCAAAGGAAATCGCTCGAAGATGCAAAGGGCATCCTCTCTCGATCGTTGTTATTGGAGGCCTTCTAAAAAAACTACATTCGACTAAAAAATGTTGCGAGGATGTCGCAAGAGACATGGACTCAGTTTTGCATTCAGAAGATTACGAAGAATGGTGTTTAAACATATTATCATTGAGCTACAAATACTTGCCCGAACATTTAAAGCCATGCTTTCTTTATATGGGAATTTTTCCTGAAAACCATGAGATTCGGGTTTCACAACTCATCAATCTTTGGATTGCGGAAGGTTTTGTCCGACCAGTTCATAATAACAAAAGTTTCGAAGAGGTCGGTCTCGATTATTTAAAGGAACTCGTCGATAGTAATCTAGTTTTAATTCCGAGGTGGGGGCGAACCGGGGATTTTAAAACATGCTATCTTCATGATTGTATACGAAACTTCTGTTTATCAATTGCACAAGAAGAGAAGTTCTTTCACATGTTAAGGAAAAATGACATTATTCCGAAAGGCTTCCATGACGAACTTCGGGTTGTTTTTAATGAAAAGCATCATCCTCAAGAACTTGGTGTCATCTTATATCCATTACAGTGTCGTACGCTAATATGCAATGGCGCGGATCTGCCGCAGTTAAAGGATACATCTTTTCGTGTATTGGATGCAGTCGATATAAATTCTTTTGAAGGTATCTTTCGACATGTCGACTTGAGGTATATTGGGTGTAGGTCATCTTCTTTGAGCAGAGTTCCTTCAACCATTTCAAACCTGTCGAGTTTGCAGACTATAATTTGCCGCAACAGATGTTTGGTATCAGCTCCAGTCGAAATTTGGAATATGAAAAATCTCAGACATGTCGAATTTACGAAGATTTCTCTTCCTGATCCACCTTCATCCATGGCGACGCCAGATGATCAGACCTTGGCACACCTACATACTTTTACGACTATAGTAAATTTCACGTGCTCGTCTGAAGCCCTCTGGAGGATGCGATTTGTCAAGAAACTAAAAATCAAGTATGATAGGACAGTGGCAGATAATTTTCTTGATAATCTTGGTCGTTTTTTCATGCTCGAATTGCTGAAAGTGTGCATTGAGGCAGAGACAACTACCATCTTGCTGCGTAGCTTCACTTATATAATCTCACTGAAGAAGCTGACTTTAGACAACATTGAGCTTTGCTGGAATGATTTGGAAATGTTCATCTCTTTGCCAAAACTCGAAGATTTTAAACTTAACGGCAATGTTTCAGGACAGGTGTGGTCTCTTATTTCGATTCCATTAGAATTCAGGTCTCTGAAATCTTTGAGAATTGGTGGATCAACTGATCTTGCTTTCTGGGAAGTCGACAATTCTTGTTTTCCTGTTCTGGAAATCGTCGATCTTGGTGATGTGCCACACTTGACTTGGATCCCTTTCCAAATAGGAGACATTGAAACTCTAAGAGAGATTCAATTCCGTGGCAGCATTGACACCACAGCCATTTCTGCACTGGAAATATTGCTGGAGCGGGAGAATCGTGGGATTGAAGGACTTCATGTTCGAGTCACCTTCGCGGATCAAGTGGAAAATCGACGCTTCTGGAAAAGGGTGGAATCGTCGAAATTACGATGGAGTAGCAATTTTATTGTGGAGGCTGGTAAGTTGTGAACTTTTCCTCCTCATGAGTTACGATGTATATTTATTTTCGATTTTGTGTGCTCTTTGTTTTGTATTTTGGTTTCGATTCTCAATTTAGTTCACTTACTTTTAAGCTATTTATTACTTAATTTATCATCTTCCATAGTATTGGAAAAAAATGAGAGGTGGGCTAGAGCACCTACACGTTATAGGCCAACTCCTTCGAGTTTAATGGCAATAGAAATAAGAAACCTCAAGGAGTTTGCATTTCAAAAAATACTTGTTCCGTAGTCATAACCCTCATGTGTGTCATAGATATTTTGTCTATGGCTGGCAAAAATTAATCAGAAAACAAATAACACACAAGATTTGTTAACACACAAAGATGTCCACTAAACCTATCATCGGGAATATAAAGGACTCAACTACTGAACAAACAAGGATTCAAAGATATATCTCCTACAGTCTTTTTTACATTGCAATATACCATAAAGTAGCAATAGTGTTTGACTAACTAACATTGAGGTATTAAATATGCCATCACAGACCTGCAATATTGTTTTATTTTATTTGAACATTCTCAAATATTTGATAATTCATATCCAAATAAAACCTATCCAAAAAGGCACCAACAAACCATACACAGAAGGTCTTTAGCAACCGTCTACAGCATATTCCACTTTTGCATAGTTATGATACCCTGAAATGTTAGTGTAACATGCGTTAAAACAAGAACTGGTACTTTAGTAACACATAGATTACTGTAGTTTTTAGATAGATCAACCACCTATCCTTGGCACTTAGTTTTTAGGAAGTATCCTTGGTTGTAGGCACCCTCCAACAAAATACAAATATTGAAATCGAAATTCCAGAAAGATTCCATTTAACGATGACATGTGAAAGACCCACAATTGACATTGTCATCGTTATTAAATTATTATTCAATCACAACTGGCAAGATCAGAATAGCACAAACACCCAATTCTTGATTTTTTGTACGCAGCAAAATCAGCTTGTGTAAATTCAATCGTTTCAACTCTACTTTCACGTACGCCTTAATTCTTCTTCAGATGGCTGCTTATGCAACTGTTGTTTCTCTTATTCATGCCGTGAGGTGGATGCAGAATTGTAATAGCCAGGCAATGTTTTATAGGGAGCAAGTTGGTTGATCGTCTAGGAGAAATGGGTTATTTGCACGATTTTCCCAAAATGTATTCTCATGGAGATAGTCATATTTTGGAGAGAAACACTGCAGATATAGCTCACGAAGCAGAATATATCGTTGACAAATTGGTAGCAGAAGAAACTGTTTATAGGTGGACCACTGGGCACCTATCATTAATTGAGTTGCTCCCTACAAACTACAAACCTAAAGAATTGTTTAGCAAAAGAAATAAATACGAGGAAAATTACCACTTTAAGCAGGGCATGTGAAAGCTCACAATTGTCATTGTCATTTTCATCCTATATGATTCATTATTGTTCAGCCCCAACTTGCAACTGGAAACTACTAAGAAGCACACAGCCACAAAGACCAGATCAGTTCCAATTCCAATTCCAATTCCAATTCTTTATTTTTACTTTCTTTCACACGCATCACAATCTGCTTGTGTATATTCGTTCAATTCATTTGCTTTAATCTATCTCTACTTTCAGGCTAATTAAATCCATCGGAAACTTTTACGATGGCTGCTTATGCAGCTGTTCTTTCTCTCATCCACGCCGTGAGGCGGAGCCAGATTGCTACTAGCCACGCAAAGTTTTACAGGGACCAAGTCGACCATATAGGGGAAATGGGTTTTTTGCTGCATCATTTTCTGAAATCCTATTCTGATCATGGAGAAGATAATCAACGTCACTTGGAGTTGGAGAGAAACATTGCAGATATTGCTCCCAAAGCAGAAGATATCATCGACAATTTGGTAATGGAGGAAACTGTTTTTTGGTGGAGCAGGGATTGCCTGTCATACTTTGAGTCGCTTCTTAGAGTCCAGGAAGATATGAAAATTTTAATTGAAAAGGATCTGGAGATTCAAGTCCGGAGCAGAGTTCAACCTCGGTGGCTGCCTTCATATCAGAAACTACGCCAACACTCTCTGCCAGATGCTTGCAAGAGACCAATTGTGGGACTTGAGATGGAACAAAATTATATCCTCGAAAGCCTTACCAGAGGACAATCTTCACTTCAGGTCCTTCCAATCATTGGGGTGAGCGGAACCGGTAAGAACACATTGGCTCGATCTATCTATGAAAGTGATAATGTTTTGCATGAGTTTGACATCAGAATTTGGATCACAATGCTCCGAGAATGCACTGTCCGAGATCTTCTCCTGCAGATTCCTCTTTGTAAACACCTGCAGGACCATACCAGCAGTTTACTAACTGCGAGCCATTTGGGAGAAATCCTTCACAAATATTTATTTGATAAGAGATATCTAATTGTATTAGATGACATAAGTTGGGAAATTTGGAATGACATAAGGATTTTCTTTCCGGATTGTTGAGGACTCCCGTTTGCGGGATATGTAACTAATGGCTTAGTTTCCCTAACAAGTTCGAGCTTTTAGGTGAGACGGTCATTAGCTTCCGACATGGTATCAGAGCCTAGGTTAGGTCTCGAGTTCGAGTCCCGCCCGTCCCCATTTGTGGCACTTGCATGTGCAAGTTTCGCAGACCCACTTGCACCTGAGGGGGCGTGTTGAGGACTCCCGTTTGCGGGATATGTAACTAATGGCTTAGTTTCCCTAACAAGTTCGAGCTTTTAGGTGAGACGGTCATTAGCTTCCGACACGGATTTTAGAAATATGAGTCGAATCATTGTAACAGCTAAGGTGTTAGCTTCCTCTCTCGATCCTTCTCATTGGGGGACTTTTAAAAAAATTACTTTCAATGCTCGATTTTCCTGAAAGAGATGGAATTTATGTCTTTCAACTCATAGATCGTTGGGTTGCTCAGGATTTTGTAGAATCAGACAATAATAACAAAAGTTTGGAAGAGATTGGTGACTATTATTTTGATGATCTTGTTGAGAGGAATCTCGTTATGGTCCATAGTTTGGGATTAACCGGAAAAAGTAGAAAATGCTATCTTCATGATTCTACACGAGACATGCTTAAGGAATGCTCCGGAAAAGAAGCTCTTTTACATTTTAAGAAATCGCTGCATTCTACAAGGCTTCCATTATGAGAGCATCGCTTTGTTTTTAAAGAGAAGCATTTTTTCTCAAGAATTTGATGATGTCTTATGTCCGTTACGAAATACTTTCTCGGTCCCGCTTACTCTATCTTCATTTTTATTTTGGTCCGTCCCACTTATTGTTCATTTTTTTTTAATAAAATAATTACACTTTAATTTTATTTTAATTTTTAGTTATCTTAATCTTAATATATAATTATTTTTATTATATAATAATTATTTTCACTAATACATTATTAATTCAAATTATTGAGTTTCTAACTATAATAATGTCAAATTCTTATAGATAAGTGGTGATTAGCTTGACAGAGATTTTGTCTTCGATCCGAATGGGTGCGTGTGTGGTTGAGTTGGGGTGCATGCATTTGTATAATGGCTAATACAATTTAATTTTTTTTATTGTTAATTATATTAATGATGAGAGACTGATGTACAATTTATATAAAATATTACTTTAATTAAAAAATAATTAAATAAACAGGTGTCATTACGAGTGGTGCATGCCATTTGTTATGTATGAGAATCTAATTTCTTCACAAGAGTTGAACACGATCGAAAACAAAATCCTCTGTTCTTCCATCATTCTGCGATCTAATTTCGTCGAGAACACCTTTCTCAGCAATGGCGCAATTCCGATTATTCGAAAAAGACAACGAGTCGAACCGACTCATTTACGCCTCTCAAGGGCAAAGAGATAAACACCACCAAAGGAAATTTGTCCGTGGACAACAAAAAATGAGAGGTGATGGGACTCGAACTCGAAACCTATGGGCAGCTGCAGCTGGGATAGGGGGCACACAACCACCATCATCCATGATGATCAGAAACAAATAATAGGCCAAAATAACTCGTTTAAACTACGAAAGTGATCGAATTCCGGGCACGGGTAATGATGACAGGAAGCATTTCTTGTTGAGAGAATATCAACTCTCTATCCTCTATGAAATCGAATGTGTCCGAGACGACTGCCACGATTATGCATTTTGTATAGTGATTAAGAGAGACAGCTCAGTCAAGTTTATTGATCCTCCGATGAGGAGCAAAATTAATGTACAGAAGTATTTGTATCTGATTCGGAAAGCAAATTCGATGCGACTAACCGAAAAAAGAAATCATCCTGTGTCTTCTGAACAAGGTGAGTAAATATCAGCTGTCATTCCCAATCAGGTTCGATCCTGTCATTCCCACCCTCGACATTTTCGGTGAGATAGAGCCGTGGGATACCTTCAGATGCTATGACGATTATCGAGAAGTCTTTTTCTTAACTAAGCTCAAGAAAAGTTCTGGCAGAACTTTCCGCGGCTGCGGCACTCACGGGAGATGGATTGGGAATGTTAGAATCGACCCAATCTTTCATAAGAGGAAAAGTGTGTTAATAGGGCGTGCAAAGATGTTCTTACACAGCTACAGGGAAGAAGCTGATTTCGATACTAATGATAGAGGGAAGCTATGCTATTATTACATGAGAGAATATTCCCTGGACGAGAGGTTCGAAGATTCTGTGAGAGACGATTGCGAAGATTGTGTACTGTGGTGAAGAAGATGCACCCATCTCTGAAGATCCATGGAATCCCAACAACTGGTTGATGACAATAAAGTGATGACTGGCAAAACCATGTATACATTGATGGAGGTTGCGGATGCAGAATGACCGTCTCACCTAAAATTTTGAACTGTTAAAGAAATACAGTCATTAACTATTTATCGGCAAATGGAGTCCCCAACAGAGGTGATGAAGATGTATTGAATCTTGGAACAAATGGGGATGAATTTGAATTTACAAGAGTTCTTGATCTTGGTGTAACAATGTGTTCTTGTGCAAGATTTTGATCTTCTGTAATCATGCTTATGCAGTTGTTTTGTTGATGCATAATCCTCTTTTACAAATGAAGAACACATATTGTAGATGTTGTCGTGCTAAGATTTGGATCTAATTGCTCAACATATCGAAGATCAATTCGAATTTAAGCTTATTCACTCAATGTGTAAATCAACAACCATGCATGAACAAACTTGTTTGGATGGACTTGTGATCACAACGTCGTCATAAGTTCAAATCTTGCCTATCTCGATCAAGTCTGTTATACAAAACTTGCCATTCTGATCTACAGACTATTGCAAATTACATCAAACAATATGTATTAGAATCAGAACATATTGTGAATAATGTGAATCGGTTCAAAACTTAAAATGATCATTTAATATGGTATTAGAATCGGAATATATTGTCGTCGAATATCCACCGCCCTACCTTCATCACGATCCATCATCTGCAAGATTCACAAGCTTAACTCATTTTATAAATTTTACACATTATTGAAATAGTTTTATCTCATTTTTAAAATTACGGCTAGACAATCCACAACATACTATTTGGCAAAATTTGGCCGGACGGACGAGCTATGGCGACAGTGGGTTAAAAATGACTCGGCCCAATCCTCCTTTAAGATGGATCTGGACGAGCTAATCCGACGGGCTCGCCACAATTTTAAAGGTCTAACCTATATATATATGAAAAAAAATCATTTAATCAATCATTCTCCAACTAAACTCAATTGCTCAAACTACGCTCAACAACTCGAACAAATCATCTTCATTCTCCCTCCATTCATCTTCATTTCATCAACAAGAACAACTCAAATTGTTTTCTTTTCTGCAATGGAAGAGTTTCGACTATCCGAAAAGGATATCATTCTCCGTCTTCTTAATGAAGTCAGCAAGGCCAGCGTGACATTGCCGGCCAGCATCAACGTCGAACTTCCATTCCTCGACATTTACGGCGACCAAGATCCCGGGGTGATCTTCAAAGACTACGACGATCACAAAGAAATTTACTTTCTCACCGAGCTCAAGCCACAACAACATCCTCAGGGCTCATATGTTCGCAAAAGCGGAAAAAGGAGCTGGCAATACAAGGACGACGAATCAGACATCAAAGACCTTTATGGCAAAAAAATAGGGACAAGAAAGGGTTTCTTCTACATGGAGATCCACTCTAACAGTTCTACAGGTAGTTATGGAACAGATTATTTGATGAGAGAATATAGCGTTGGTGACAAGTTCAAGAGGTGTATCAGACAAGATAGAAGAGATTACGTACTCTGTACTGTGCAGAAGAAGGATGGCTATGACGTAGCTCACTTTGCTAAACCTCTGCAAGAAGCTATCGTCGATGTCGAAAGGTATTTGGATTTGATTCTTGAAGCAAATCCACTTGAGTCTGCACCGTTATTGTATTCTCCTGTCAAAGCTATTCTAGCATGTCTTAATAGGGATTCAAATTTGAATGATGATAAATGATCTTGGTAATTCGTCATCTACCTCGAAAACTTTCTTGTTTCTTGATTTTTAGTAGACAATTTTGTTTTTCCCTCGACTAGAGAAATATATCGAACCTCTCTGTTAGTTCTTGAAAATGTGTTGGGAAAACTGACCAAGATTTGGTTCTTGATCATTGTATGATTGCATCAACATATCATTTTTCTTTGGCCAAGTCCTTTTTTCTTTTTTTTTTTTTAATTACTGATGGTAATGAATTAACCTTAGATTTTCAAATGGTTCCTCCAATCATCATCAAATTCTATTTGCTTTTCTACAATTTTAGAGATAATTAAAAATATATTATTAAAAATAATTATCTTATAATATGAATTAAAAAATTAAGATAATTAATTAGTATAATTAAAAATAAATAAATTATAAAATACAAAATTTAAAATAAAATTAAAATATATACTTATTTTTTTAAAAAAAAAATGACATGAAAGATGGGACATTAAAAAAATGACAATATGACATGAAAGGTGGAAAGGGGTACATGTTTTGTATGTTTTCCTATGTCATCTTCATGGTTATTTTTTGATAGAAAAATATCAAAGCCAACCCACTATGTAAATTAATAATGAAAACCAAAACCCTAAACACATCTCAAAGAGGGGCATTACATTGGGAAATCACTCATAAAACCATCTAGAACCATTTCTTGTCCATTTTTACAATACAACTTCAAGAAACTAACACAGAGGGGCATTATATGGGGAAATCAAGATTATCTATGGAAATCAAGAACCAAGAAAAGCCTTTTGAAACAGATCGATGCATAGTAATGGAGATCATGCATATATATATCATCAGTAGAAATCGATTATCCAAAACTGGACGGCAGATTTCCACATTATAAAAATAAAAAACCTCCAATTTAGATAACTGCATAATAAACATATATTGTTCAATGATTCAATTATGTTATTGTTTAAGTAGTCAAATAACAACAAAAATACCAAAAACATGAATAAAATAATTTTCTATAATATGTAACAACTTGAAATTTTGTATAATGATATCACGCCGAAATATTCCAGTTTGTATGTATAAGTAGGAATAAGTAAGAAATGAAATAAAAATACTAATATATTATATTGTGATTTTAATTATAAAAATTGTCAATAGTTTAACTATTTATATGTTACTAAGAGTTTTAATACTAAAATTTTGAGTATATTGAAAATTATCATACGAAATGAAAGAATGGATAAACCAATAAATAACATAACATATGCAACTTATTTATCTAATAATAGTAAAACAAAAACTACCAAAACTTATTCAAATGAAAGACTAAGTCATCCCGAGAGGGAGCCAGGATTAATTCAACATCTTCTTCCATAAGAACAACTGATCTTCCTTCCTCCCTGCTTCCATTCCCATCATCACTTTCAGGCAGCAATGGCGAAACCTCAATTATCTGAACAAGAAATCATTCTCTGCCTTTTCAACCACCTCCGCAAAACCAAAGTTTCACTCCCCGCCGTCCTCAAACGCGATTTCCCAATTCTCGACATATACGGCGACCATGACCCGCCGGAGCTCCTCCGCCGCTACGCGGACTTGGGAAGTTCGGGAATGTACTGTTTAGCCAGCACCAAAAAACTCCGGCTAAATCAACAACGCCGATGCGGCTCAGGCCGATGGCAACATCACAGCAAAACCACCAACGTATACGACGATAAAGGTGAAGAAATCGGCGCCAGAATGTGCTTCTTCTACTACTCGTCGGAGAAAAACTCCGGCAGCTTTAGCTACCAATACAGCCTAAGAGAATACACCCTCGCCGACAAATTGCTCGCCCACGTCGACTACGAATGGCGGCACTACGCGCTCTGCGTCGTCGCTGCAGAGCCCGTCCTCCCCGGATATGTAGAAGATATTCCAGCAAAACCCAATCGCCGCTTCGATGTTAACAACTACCTCGATCAAATTATCCGATCGCGAGTTATTGCTAATAATACTTCGTCGGATTGTGTCGCCGTAGTCAACGACGCAGCATACGGCATTGGTTTCCGACTCTCCGATCAAGAAATCATACTCTATCTTCTTAACAAGAGGATTAGAAATAGAGTCACACTGCCGGGGAAGTTCGAATTCGAGCTTCCTATTTTGGACGCATTCGGCGATCCATGGGTGATCTTCGACGGTCATCCCTATAATAAAGAAATTTACTTTCTAGCCAATGATAAGAAGCGTGGGGACGATCCGAATTTGCGAAAATGTGGGAAAGTTTGCTGGAAAAGCGATGGATTGGAAGAATGTGTGTATGATGGCGAAGGACATGAAATAGGGAAGAGGAAGTGTTTCTGCTACCTCTACCAGAAGAGCGATTCGGGTTATATTATGTTTACTTTGCGGATTTATAGCCTCGGCGACAGATTCAAGAATTGTGTTAGAGACGATGATGGATTCAGAGATTTGGTGTTTTGTGTGATGATTAAGGTGATTTCTTCGCCGATTAAGATGAAGCAGAGCAGCGTCGGAGTTATTGATTCGTATTTGGAGAAGATTGGGAGTGCCAATGCTGCTAAGGCTCCGGAAGATGACTGATCTTTGAATCCAAAGGTTTATGGATTTTGAGTTTTGGTGATGATCTCAGCCCTCTTTATTTATATTTTCAAACTTTGAATTTTATTTTGCATTCGTTCTAATAATTCAAAGTGCCTTTTTACCTTTTTATCACATGTTCATAACAAAATATTCAATTTTTACTTAAATTACAAATATATTATTTCATATACAATTACTTCATACATATGTTGCAAATTCAAGTTTACACGTTGGAAAAATTAGAAGAAAATTAACAATTTATAAGTCTTATATTAATTTCGTCTAGTCCTTTATTGAAAAGTATAAAATTTTGAATAAAAATTACGTAACAGACATAAACGACAATATGAACATTATCAACAACAATATCAAGAGCATTAGTGTTTGCTTCGAGAATCAGCCCCAAATACCAGCCAAAGTCGACTCGAGATGTTTCAATAGTTGGAAGCATGATGGGACGATTAAACTTTATATATATTTGATGTAGTAATTGTTTATATATTTATGTTTTGTTTGTATTTCTATATATACTAAAATCTAAAACTCATTGATTTGATGTAGTAATTGTTTATATATTTATGTTTTGTTTGTATTTCTATATATACTAAAATCTAAAACTCATTGAAGTCTGTATATTTATTATTATTATTTTTATGATGTGTAAAAATTCACAATTGTTATTTAGCAAGTATGTTTTGAGTAAATCTAGATCATATATTATAAACTACTAAGTGAACTGAATTATATATGACAGATAAAATTTAAAAATATTGAAAGTTTAAACCCACAAATTCACCTCATAGCACCAGACATCTACGAACCCACAAATTCACCCCATAGCACCAGACATCTACTACGGGGCGATGTGTCTATATATTTTTCATACCCATTAAGTGATGCATAAAAAACTAGAAGTACTCAAAAAAAAAAAAAGAGTCAAGAATGAGAGATACGATCAATAATCAACAATACTAAAAGCCCTACTTATAATATCAAGAATGAGAGATACGATCAATAATCAACAGTACTAAAAGCTCTACTTATAATATCAAGAATCAACACTAAAAGGTAAAAGCTTTCTCCCATTTCATGAATATCACATGATCAAGAATCCCAAAATGCTCGATCGAGAAACTATAAATTATATATTGACATCCATATCCACGGTAAAGATCATTCAATCATGGATCGTCGTCATCATCATATATGTCATCAATGAATTAGTGATGCATCAAGCTAAGAACAAGAAGTGTAAAGGGAAACAAGAATCAAATTTCCAAACTAGCGATCAAGAATTAAAAACCAGCCATCTATATATCTCTCACTTCATGATCACACCAAGAATCCCAAAATGCTCGAAAAACTAATATAGTAAAGATCATTCTATCATCGTCGCCCTACGTCATCAACAACATCAAGGGCATCAGTGTTTGCTTCGAGAATCAGCCCCAAATACCAGCCAACGTCGACTCTAGAAGTTTCAATAGTTGGAAGCATGATGGGACGATTAAATGCAATCTTGTTCACTACACAAAACACGTGTGTTTCTTTATGTTGGGTTTGGGAAGATTGAGTTTGGAATTGGTTTGGATTTAAATTTTTTTAGGAGTATTGGAATCTGGATTCTTTTGGTGTAGTAGATTTTGTTTGGTTTTGAAGGGTTTTGTTGGATAGTGATTTGATAGGTAATGATTGAAGTGATTAGATTATTTATATTATTAAAATAATTTATATTAAATATAAAAAAATGTAATAAATATGAAGTGTGATGTTTTTTTTTTTATTAATTTTCTTTTCTTCATTAACAAAAAAAAGGGAAAAAAAAGAAAAGAAGTAAATTAATTCTGGCTGTAGCCTACAGTTGAAGAACAAGTGGAAGAAATATTTTTTCAATGCAAGTTAACCATTGATATATAATAAAAAAGATGTAAAGCGTATGCCAAAAACCAAAACTTTACAAGCGTCAATGACAAAATTATGTCATGCGCGTAGGACGTCCGGTGGCGTGCAGTACATTAAAAATCGTCCGAGAATTACGTAAGACCGAAACAGAAATAAGCAAATAAGTATGCATAGCCTTGCCTGTGTGTTGGCAATTGACTGCGGCCCATAACTATAAAACTAGCAGAATACAGGTAAATGTGTATAGTCATGCACGTATGGTGTAAATTGACTGCTTCTCGTATACATGAAAAGCAAGGGGTATGGGAAGGCTCACCATGGTCAAACCCTAAACGCTAGCATGCAATTTTGTCGCCTAGGATGTGATTTCACGCATTCATAAGCCCACAGTAACACTACAGTTGGTTTTCCAAACTTAACGCCAAAGGAACACATCCATAGTCTCTCCGATCATCTCGAACACAAACCTTAAACTCCTCAGCTATCTTGTACTCTCTCAAAAGGTATTTCGGCTCCTCGCC